TATCAGGATCCTTATTTACAAAGGTCTCTTTATCATGATTTACAACAGTCCAGTTTTCGTAAGCAATTTAAAGTTAAAATTAAAATTAAAGGACTTTTGTTTTAGCTTATCTCATAATTGCTAAGGGAGAATTAAAAAAAAACTCAAATATCAAATGGCAAGCTAACTTACGAACATGTTGAAAAAATAACTATTTAAAACCCCCCTGAAAGGATGGCACGACTAGAAATCTATTTTACCAAGAATTCTGGTAAGCCTAAAGCACCACCGACCAAAGATTTATTAGTATAAATGTTGAAGAAATGTTAATGGTAAAGTTGATTGCACTTAATCTAAAATTAGGTTTAAAGTATTTACAGAAATACAATAGCTACTTTTATCACAATCAAATGATAAAACGACATCATTAACATCAAATCCGCGACGAACAGCAATGATAGGATCAAAACTATAAACGATGCTTCTCGTCAATATGAGAACGTTCTATCGGTTCACAAAGTCTTCCACATCAACACCAGGTTATTATACCATAACAGTAATCAAACACCATATCCACCATATAGTAATCAACATTCATCTTATATTATTAATACAATAAATAATAATCAACATCATCAATTAACATAACACAAAACGCCCATATCCTCCTTATTTCCATCACATATTTCACTAAAGAAGCACCTAATCCTCTAATTGAAATTTGTGTTTATTATTAAATAGTTCAGATATATGTATATTAATATCACCCATTAATTATTTCATTTATTCAATTAATCAGGAAGAATTTTTTACTTTTATTCCGCGCAAAATCCTCGTAATTACTACAATATTTGATGTATAAAATGTATAGATTACGATGATGATGATACTTTTCGAAAAGTACTCTGGATTTTCTTAATAAGTTGGACTACGTCGGTGAGTTTTGCCTGCATTAAGATGAGACTTTATCCCGAAAGCAATTTTCAGATCATATAAAGGAAGATTGTTATTGAATAATGCAATCAAAAAACGGCCTTTAATACATGGACTATTCTGATGTTTGTATTTCTATTTTTATTTTGATTTCTTTTTATTTTTATATACTGTAAGCAAAAATTTTTCTATGATGTAAAAGGGTGCTTGAAATAATTTCGGGAATTCGTGACTTTTTATTGAGTCCTGAAAAATGGATTATCACAATACTTTAGTTAAACCATCAAGTTATGATCCGATTTTGTCTTTGAATATTCTAACGTTCAATCATCATTGTATAATGAACATAGATCTCGTGTTATTGTAAGTACCTTTACATTATGCTTTATTGTTGTTGGTAGTACCTTTTCTAAATTTATTAGTTTTTTTAATGTAAAGGAAGTAGCGCAAAAATTACAAAATTTAAAATCAAGCTGCTAATGAGGTTCCTCAAGAAGATTTGGAAAAATTACGCATCAAATTCCCAAACTTTTAATCGCAGATTTATTCTTAATTTTACTCTAAACGGTTTGCGCACAAATTCTTCTGGAGTTTAACAATTCAAATAGGGACGACTTTACAGTTAGTAACCTACTTTTTTTTTTATTATTTCATTGACCAGAAAGTAGCCCAGTCGCAATTATTCTTGGTAGAACGCATAATTCCTTTCCTATTTTTATTGCGATATGGAAATGCTACATCTGAAATCTTTAAATAAAGTCAATGACTTCCTGAAGAAATAATTTCCGATGATGATATTTTTAAATTATACAGAGAAGGTTCCTTTATCAAACAATTCTCTTTAGAAATATGTCATCGTTCTAAACTGAAGAAAATTTAAGGTGAACATGATTCCATCGGAAGAAACCGAATAACAATCCTAATCAAAATAACTTTCTAATCGCATTCATAATTAATTTAATAATTCATTGGTCTTGCATTAAAATTTAAAACATCGAAACAGCGCGTGATCAGCTTGATAATTTGTATAATTCAATGGATTTTGATTATTTAGCTCGAACTATTCATCAGCACCGCCCGTTCCGGTAAGGTGAAGAAAAACTGATAACTTACACAATTAAAATAGTTCAAGAAGAAAATTTTTCTGCACATTATACTAATGGCAAGAATGTTACATAATAATGTATTTAATTCATTATTAACAATAACAATAATTAGATTTATGAATTTATTATTATGTTGTATATAGTTCCTTTATAATTATCTCCATGCAGATGGGAACGGTTTATAAAAACAAGTTTCTGTAAGATATTAATTATTATTGACATGGCCAGATACACTTATAATAGAATACCAGTAAGCATTAATAAATCGATACAATTTAATATCGTAAAACCAGAAATTATTTTAGAATTTTAAGACTTATATCGAGATCCAAAGTATATTGAAACAATAAATGGAAGAAAGAGCTATAAAGCTGGTTACTTCCTCTAAAAATTCAGATGATACACAAACTCTGTAAAATATGAAATTATTTTCCTACTTTCTTTTTTAAATAAATAATTAAATACGGTTTAAACCAATTTAACGAGTCGAGTATAATTTTCTTTTACTTTATTTTAAATTGTATTATTGTTTTGTGAATATTTTTTACAAATCAATCGTTTATTATCAAATCTTTTCTTTTTAATGTGTTAAGAACGGCTTATAATCAATTTATCATTCAAACTATATTTTTATTAATTGTAGCAATTATTCTCAGCTTCATCAATCTCATTTAATAAATTATCGTGTTCTTTTCAAATGTATGGAGAAGATTTTTCAAAATCGCAAAGTTGATCATCCTTTTCGAGCTTTAATAGAATAGATCATAACATACATATACAGTAATATAGAATGAATAATAATAAATATACTTACGAGTTTATTAGTCCCTTAGTGGTAGTTTAAAATGAAATTAATTAATTCTTCGTCAATTTCTTCTTCTTCTTTAAACTTTGAATCTTCTTGCAAAAGCCTTTAAATTAAAAATTGTAATCGTCATTGTTAATACTTGCAATTTCCCATGTTCAAGTTGCATTTGGCTGATATGCTTTAATTTTTGGGCAAGTGTCAACTCCAAAAATTGAAAGATTACTCAATACCACTAGAAATTTTGATTTCATAATTTATTACCGTTAAATTCTTCTTGAGAATGAAATTTGCTATAATCAAAATTACTATTTTTTGATGTTGTTTGAACTTGGAGAGTTTCAACTTTTCATCAATTCTTTTTTACGCGTGATATTCAATTAATTAATTTGATAATTTTAAATTAAAATTATCAGTTAATATTTGAATTCTTATGGAACAGAGCTCAATACAAGATCATGGATATGTTGTTTCGATTTTGACTTGTTTCCAATTTATGCTATCCGTTTTTTGGATATCGAACGGGTAGTTGATGTTCCCTGCGATGTTAGTTTAAGAGAAATGGTTAATATAAAAACGTGTCAAATAAAAATTCTTTTGAGATTGTAATTCGTAAAGAACCCTTACTCTTTATTATTTGGTCTAAAAGTAGGTATTTATTAAAAACAATTAAGAATAATTGAGAAGATATTTTCTACGTAATAAATCTAGATAGTAGACGCGTTATAATTTTGAAAATTGGTGATAGATAATTTAAACCTTAAATACGCGCTTATAAAATGATTTGATTGGTCACGATCTATCTTAAATTGTTTTCCATCACTTTTTTTTCCATCATTTTTTTTGTTACTCTTTCCTTGCCTTGTTTAAAAAATTTTAAAAAATCAAATAAATTGTAATGTCTTCACAAAGGTGAGTAAAAGGAAAAACATTACTTGAAAGATTATGTTATTCATGCTTATTTACTTTCTTTTAAAACAATATTCAGTCAGAACAAAATAAACCGTAAGAATGAAATTTGCTTATGTTCAAAAAAAAAGAGACTTGAGGGTGTTAATTTCTTTTATACTAGATTTGTATTACTAGTCTAGTATTAAAAATACGCAATATGTTTCCATTTCTTTTTCCAATAGTCCCAAGAGTCCCAGGACGTCCTGTAGAAACTATTCTCCTTAACCAACTAAGGTCAAGAGTTAAAGAGTTAGTTGGAGTATCGAAGTTAGTAGTTTTTTGTTTTTTAATTCAAAGTATTCGGAGCGGTTATTTGCAGAATAACAAAATAATTATCAACTGAAATTGGCATTTTGTTGTTTCAACCGTTCTTTAGTAATATGGGTTTTCATTTGATTATTCTTCTATTAACAAACTGATTTATTTTCTTATCTAAATATTTTTTTTTATAGTTTCCCTGGTATGTGATATTCATTTTATTTATCCATCCTAACAATTATCAAGATCACTAACATTTATTTTTTTAACAGGTGCGCAGCCAATTGGTTTCTGTTCCGAACACATACAAGATTTGAAAAATGAAGAGTTAGTAATTCATAATAATTTTCTTTTATAAATAAATAACTTAAATCGTTGATCTTTTTTTTAGTTATTTTGTGAGCAAACGGACGGAACTCGTGTATTAGCTTATATGATAGTCCTGGGAAACCAGCACTTTTTTTGGTCAGTATTATTATTTTATTAAAAGTTTGATCTGCTTTTTACTTTTAATGGCTTAAGAATTCACTTACTAAACGAAGATAATACAGATCGATCGTAAAAATTACTATCACCTAATACCAAATTTAATGTTTCCTGTTCCTGGTGACGAAAGCTTTTCAAAATTTCATTATAAAACGTTATTGGATTGTGAATTAGTTGTTGAAACCGAAAGCGATGGGCGTGTAAATATTTTTATTTTCTATTTTTGAAATAATAAGTTTTCGTTGATGTGTCATTGATGTTTTATTGTTCTTTCTTATTTAGATTACGCCAAAGCTCTTGGTTTTTGATTTGTTAGTAATGGATAAAACGAACTACATGAATAAGCCTCTAAACAAAAGATTGGGTGTAAGTTGCATAGATTATGGAAAATTATATTATATTATAATTCTATTTATATTAATTGAAAATTCTTTAATTTTTAAAAGTATCTTCGTGATTATATTATGAGCCCCTATAAAAAAATGCTGCGTAAACGTCCGGACCTTGCGATTATTCAACCATTTAAGTAAGTGTTATTGTATTATTTTTTCAAATTACCTGTCACTTAAATGATCAATTCTAACCTTTTTGTTTTTCCATACATGAAAATTTTAATTCAAAAGTGTAGGAAATAAAGAAATGGAACGTTCTTATGGATTAGAAAAAGTTTTAAAACAAAGTATACCATCTTTAAAGCACAACTGCGATGGGCTAATTTTTACATCATTAACATCGGGTTATTCGGCAGGGAAAATATTAAAATGGAAACCACCAAATGAAAATTCTATTGACCTTAAATTAAGTTTCGATTTTAAACGCCATAACAAGAATAATAAACCGAGATTTTGTCTTTATAAATGGATGGATGTTCATAGATATTTTGATGATATGTATGTTACCGATGAAGAGTGGGAGCAATTGTAAGTAATTAACGACTTTACTGATTTTATTCATAGACAACAATGTTGATTAACCAAATGTTTTATTCGCATAAAGTTGGAAACATGATTTTCAACAATTTGAAGGACGTATTGTTGAAGTAGTTTATAACCCTTCAATTCATCCACCATGGAGATTTAAAAGGTTTCGTGATGATCAACCACGCGCAAATCATCATACTGTAATTGAAAAAATAGAACAAAGTGTATTTGATGGGATCACTGAAGAACAGGCACATATTTTTTTCTATTTTAAATTATTACAAACGATAAACATTTTTAACATGATAATCTTACCTCATAATTTAATTTATTATATTAGTTAATTTCATCCGTGCCAAAAATACGAGAAACATGGAAGTGTAGAGAGGCACAAAAATAATTGTTTGTAAGTTTTTTGCATTCAACGGAAAAAAAAAAACCAAAATGTTTCTAACGACGCATCGATCTTATTTAGCAAGCCAGATGAAAATCTATCACATGGAGCTCGGTAATAAAAGTAATGAAAATTGATCGGATCAATTGCAAATGGGAGGAAGCATTAGAGTGAATTTCCAATCCTTTTATTGTATAAGATTTTTATTTTTATCTACAAATTTAAAATTAAATAAAAGCTTTAATATAATTTTTTAAAATGAACCTTCTAATCAAAATTATTTTTTATTAAAAAATCTTTTTTAATTAGTAAAAATAAAAAAAAAAAAAATTTTCTTAAAAAACTAAAAAAATATGGGAGGTTTTTGCTATTAAAATACTAACATAGTAAATCATATGATTCGTAACGTGATTTAATAGCTTACTTCCCATATGATCGCTATTTTATAATTTTTTATAAGCAACAAATGCCAATAATCGCTTTATTTTAATGATTTTTTCAACAAATTATCCACAATTTCCTGAAAGATTCACATATGATAATTATAATTTGCCGTGGAGTAATTTGCAACAGCAAAAGTTTAATTATCTGAACCGGATAATTATAACGTAACTTCAGGGTAATCGCCGATAACTCCACAGTTACTATCAATTCTCAGCCGACAACTTTTAAATTCACGTATCTTGTATTTTTTTTGAAAATTTTCTATTATGAAATCCATGATATCATATTTAAGATCATTCCATTTCCAGGGATCGTTAAATAAAAGATGCATTGCAATCATCGTACTTAATCTATTGAAGATTTCAACCTAGCATTCTGTCGTAAATTTGACAAATGATATTTGTCAGCTACTTAGGATCCAACGTCAAAAATGCCATCTAGCTGCTTGATCCTTGACAAAGATTCGAGATGAATCTTAATTTTATTAGCATGGCATGTACATATGATCTCCTCCTTTAAAGGTAGATAAATCAACAAATTTTGCTTCACGTGGTCCTATAGTAAATCCTACAGATCGAAATACTCCTTGTAATCCCTTAAGTAATTGAAATACTTCATTATCAGCAGCAATCTGAGCATTATTAATGTTTTCAGGTATCCTTTGAGGTTTTATCAACTGGATATTCGATACGGCCCCAACCAACTTTATCAAAAAGTTTTCTAAAAATATGGTTCCATGGGCTGCTGAGGTGGTTGAAATATATGAGGTATTTGAGAAATTAATTCTTTTATTTCCGTTCGAGCTTTTTCATCACCTTTAGAATATAGTACGTCGAACGTCATCTCTGCAACACATTCTTGAGCTTCAAGAGGATCCGAAAAAAACTTTTCTCCCTTAAGTCGTTCTTCTTCAATTAAATTATCCGCGACGTAGTGTTGTTCTAAAGCATGACCATCATTTAACAATTCATATCTTGGTCCTGAAATATTTGATATTTGGCAAAACAAATCTAACATCTTGGTAGCAAGAACGAATTTATTATCTAGCTCTACCAAAGTTTCGTTTGTTCCCTTCCCTTTGAGCATACTACAATCGGGAATCTTAAAGCAAATGAATGTCTTAGAAAGTTTGAAATTGCATCATGAGTTTCCCATGATTACAAAAAATAAAAGGAGTTTATTTTTGAGTTATCTCGTTTAATTTTATGTAAAGGTGAATCCGTTTTTAGGTATTGTTTCTGAAAAAAAAAATTTTTTTTTTGAGTTGCAATAGTTGTATATTATTAATGAAGGTATCACAAATTATCAACAATAGTAAATTGTAAAAAAATAAAAGGGAGATTATTTTTAGATTTAATCTGTTTCTGAAAAAAAAAATTTTTATTTTGAGTTGTATATTATTAATGAAAAGGTATTACAAATGATCATATCTTTTTAAAAGAATAAAAGAAACTCATGGAACGTTTAATTTTCTGAAAAAAAAAATTTTTAAATTGTGAATTATATATTATTACAAATGTTCTTAAAAATTTTTAGGAAATCATCGAATTGTCAATTTGTTTTTTTATTGTATTACAAATAGTCAGAATAAAATTAAAAAGTCAGAATTATATTAATGGTACTTCTATATTCATATCTCATAATCTAATAAAACTACTACATTTAAAAAGTTCTTAATTTTTGGTTACATAATTCACGTGTTCTATTTAAAAATCATGTGATTTATATAAAATTCATATCATTAATTTTAATTAATCAATAATAAATTAATTTCTTAATTTAAGGAATGTTTTTATGATTTATATTTCCAGTAAATATGACAAACATTTCTGCAATTCCTTTTTATTTTAAATAATCTATTACTTATAAAATAATTTTTGTAATATATCTAATCCATTGTAGAGTTAAAAATTCATAGAACTAATATCACGTGACATTACAAGGAAAATTAAAAAAACATTTGGCTAAATAAAAGATTAATAGATAAATATTTAACTAAAAAACTAAGATACAGAATATGGGTAAATTACTTAACAAAGGAAAAAGGATTAGGAATTTCAGGAATAGAATTGGAAATTATAGGAATAGGATTGAAAATTATAAGAATAAGAATAAAATTAGAAATTACAGGAATAAAATTAGAAATTACAAGAATAGGAATAGAATTAGAAATTATAGGAATAGGATTAAAAATTACAAAAATAGGATTGAAAATTACAAGAATAGGATTAAAATTTACAGAAATGATCTATATTAATTTTTGTATAAATAGAATAGAATTTCTCATGTAAAATGAGGATAATCCTTTCTGTCAATCTAATAATCTACTAATAATGCTAAGAAAAAATAAAAGAAAGAATACTAACTGTGATCACACTGCATCATCAACTACTGAAAATAACTAACAAAAAACAAAATACAACTCAAACTTTAGATAATGATCTTACTGTTGAATATCCAAATGTACCTATTACTCCTATCTTTTCAAAGATACCAGTATGATAGAAGTCGACCCTATCAAGAAAAGTTCAATTAACAACCTTAACAAAAGCAAAAACCCTAAAAATAATATACTAGAAATAAAAACAACTTCACAGAAAACTACTATGAGTGTCGACGAGTCTTTTAATACATCAGAAAATATTTTAGACATCTTACCCATTGGTTTCAAAGTTCTTTCAACCCAAATTACCAAATTTTTTACATATCTTCCTATGGAAAATTCTCTAGACTGAACCCCAAATGAAGATCTCAAAAATCACTGATCTGTGTTATAACAAATACAACTCATTCGTTAGTATTACTATAGAAAAGCACCCTGTTGATCAAAATTAATCAATTATCAAAGTTGCCTTTATTAACAAATCTGAATGTTATATATTCTGCATTCTCAAATTTTCTGATATAAATAATGCCACATTTTAGTTATTAGATATTAAAATATCTGTCTCTTACATATTTGATTGGTTGATTATGATTACTGAAATTTCTCTAAATGCTACAGAAACTCAATTATGTAAATTATTTACCAAATTTGAAACTATTATCTATTTCACAATAGAAACAAGAAATCTTTGGCAAAGAGTCACATTATGTTTATTGAGAAAGCTAACTTTGAAAAATTAAAAAAAGGTGACAGAATTTACCTCTTATATGACATGATCTAGTACTATCCTTATATTCTCTTCAGGGCTGATATCTAAGCTTATTCTGCATTCTCAGCTAAGCTTACCAACCTTTCTCATAATATCATATTATATAACCTTTACGACATTAGAAATATGATCTTTGCTACTGCTTATATTATTCCTAAAACACACTCTAACTATAACTATTTACAACATGCCTTCTTTTATTTCTCAACAAAGAAGATACCATAGCTGCAATAAAAATCAAGAATTTAACTTTAAACAATAAGAAACTTGAATGAACTGATCCAAAAGTCAAACTTTACTCTATTTGTTTATCAGCGTACCATAATGCTTCTTTTTGTTTTAAATGTCATTAGATACCTAAAGACTGTAATATGCAAAATCTCTATCAGAGATTCTAACCAGCTCAATTTAATAACTATATGCATCCAAATGTAATCCTGTAAGAGGTGTCATTTGTGATAATTATGAGGGACGAAATTCCTTAATAACAGTCGAAACTTAGACGAAACTATATTAAAATCATAATAAGAGATATGACGAAACCCTTTCGATACGACGAAAGCTGAAACTGTCAAAACTATATTAAAAACATAGAAAAGGCTATGACGAGATTATTTTGAGGAGATTTTGGCAGGCATCTATAATTTATGATAACATCACTTTTGCTCACGTAATTAAGATCTTACAGCAATCTAATAACCCTTAGAAAACTCTTAAGAGAAGATCTTCTCCACCTTCCTTGCTTAAGCCTACCTTTAAATCATCTTTTTCTGACTCTTTCAATATCAAACTAAAATTGCATTGGGTAGATGAATCTATAGATGATTTTATGGAAACTGAAGTTCTTCTTACTCTGAAATTAAATAATAATATATCAAAAGATGGTTCAATTCACAACCCTGACTTCAAACAATTTGTTATCTCCTAACTCTCTTTGAATTTCAATATACTTATAGATCTTTATTTTAATTTAAGTTTTCACAGCATTGTTTAGCTGTTGTTGAAAAAGCCCTTTATATTAAAGTCATCACTCCTGCTAAAGCGAAGGAATTTAATAATAACTTATCAGAATTAGCTACTAAAGTTGACTATAAATCTTCACACATCAACACTGACCTTTATACTACTCATTTACAAAAGCAAATAAATGAACAATTAGTTCTCATTTGCCAAAAACAATAACAGCATATATTAGAATTTATCCCTATACTTAACAAGTTACTTAAATTCTATCATGATCTCTAAACTGTATTTCTCAATAAAAATATTCTTAACAAACATAACACACAAATTTTTGAATCCTTAACTGAAACTTTGATAAAACATAGAATGCTGCATCAGTAGCTTTCAATAATAATTTTTATTACTATTATAATTCCTGTCCCTACAATAAATGATACAGACACTCCTAGTTCTCATACCCTTCTCTTTTAATCTTTGAATTGCAACACATAACATCCATTTTTTTAATGACTTTGCAAAAAAAATTATTTTTTTTCCTTATACTCAATTAATCAATTTGACATCATAAGCTTGCAAGAAATAAATTTTAAGGAAAATACCTTTATTTTTAATTAACATTTCCCTACTCATACTACCTTTTTTAACAAAAACTAACATTCCTGTTCGACTGAAACTAATATCAACCTTTTTTTAACCTATCTATTGTAAAACACGTTTTTGCCTATGACTTTAAATTTGACAGAATAATATTTGCAAAAATCTAATTTACTAACAAACAAAAATTGCTAATCCTTAATTGTTATCTTTCACCAACTAAAACTCCCAATAACTTAATAAGACAAGTAATTAATTTTTTGAAACATTTATTAAATGATGCTATTAAAAATAAATTTCAAATTATTCTCATCAGAAACTTAAATGTTAACATAAATTACTTTAATAACTCCCCTCTAAATTTAAACTTCATTAATTCTCTTAATCATTATAATTTATATGATGCCTTTAATGTTTACTTTAAAAAAGACAGATTCTTATACCCATTCTTTGCTAATAAAATATCTTCATCTCAAATTGACTACATTTTTATAATACCTGAATTAATGCTTAATATTCTTGATTGTAAAATTATTCAAGTAGACTTTTCTATCTCTGACCATCATATTGTCTCAACCAAGATAATTAATTCCTTAAAACATTCTGTGTCTATAAGAAAAGCCTAATCAAATCTTCCTTCAATTATAACTTAATGAATGATTTCAAATGGTCTAACTTTAGAGACAATTTTGAAACTATAATTAATTCTAACTCGCTTATGCAGATTTCACATAATACAACTTGATCATAAAGTCTTTTGAACTCATCTTAGGATCTTTTCCAAGATTCTCTCATTTTAGTGGTAAAAAAATGTATTTTGATATACAAAAAATTATCATTTATCTAAAAAACCTATCACAGTATCAAAAATTTATAATGAAATTAAATTGCTTTATTGTATTTCTAAAATGTCAAAAAAGTGTTTTACAGACCTTATAGTTCATCATAAATGAATAAATTTATATTCAAAATTTTTACAGATTGCTTATTCTTCTAGCCTATTTACTATTCCTCTCAACTGTTCTTCTCATTATACATTGATTTGATCTGTTTTTTTTAGATATTAAATTTCTTTTTACTAGTCTTAAAATGAAAGCTGCATTATGAGATGAGAACATGATTTTAAATTCAAAAGTATTCAAGAAGCCTTTGACTCTTATGTAGATGATTTCAGGCACAACCCATTTCAGATAATTGATTCAGTCTTTAATTGAAGAAGAACCACTATTATATTAGATTGATGTATTGATAATTCATCTCCATTTTAAGATCTTTTTTTTGAGAAACCTGATATTAAAAAAGAAATCGCTAGACACTTCTAACAAGTTACTAGCACTATGTACTATTCTAAAGAGATTCTAGAGGACTGGCTTT